CAGGAAAAAAAAAAAAAAAAGGTCTTTTGATGGCTTGTTTAGTTGTTAATACTTTAAATAGTGTTTGTTTTCCTTAAAAAGTTGTAATGTCCCTTTGTGTCTTTGTTTGCTGAAAAAATGAATTACCTTGTGGTTAATGTTAGAATCTAGTGTGCAGAAAAAAAGGAAGAGTCTTTGTCTTTTTTAAGAAAGATTATGGAGAGATTCTTCATGATTCTTGATGGGTTTCTTCCTTTTTGTTTTTTCTCTCTGAAAGCTCTGAAATTTTCTCTGTTTTTTTCTTTCTTGGGCTTTGAATTTCTTGGATAAAATCCCCACTTTGCCTTTTCTTTTCTTTTTTTCCCTTCCTTCCTTTTGCTTGTTCATGCAAGTAAAAACAGCTAAGTTTATGGCATTTTTTGGGCCTATTATTCTTCTGTTACGTAGTATTTTCAGAATTGCAGGTGGGGGCTTATGGGGGGGGAAAATAAAAAAATAATAAAGTACTTTTCCACTGGTTTTTTAGTGCATGAGTAGCTTTTTCTTCATTGTTTTGTTTTAGCTTCTTTTTTACTACCTTATTATTCCTTATGGTAAAAGGGTAAAAAAAAAAAAAAAATTGAGTCCCTTTTTGATTGTACACAATTGGGGGAGAAAGGGTAACCAATGAGTTCCTACAAATGGTTTCTGATTTTATAGATTCAAAGCTTCTGACTTTATGCTCTGTTTGGCATTTGGAAATGTAAACCATCATTTTGTAGTCCTTAAAAAAAAAAAAAACTTTATTAATAATATTTTACCTGCAATGCATTTTGAGCTCTTACATTTTTCCAGCAAAGGCCTGAAGAAGAAGAAGAAGCTCCATATTTGAGACCACAGCAGTTATATATATATATACATCTGTTTCCTTCTACTATTTCAACTCCAAAAGGTAATTAAAGTTTGCACAATAGCATAGCAAATTTTGCCTGTAAATGTATTATTGTTCTTTTATATATAATAATCTGTAAATCCATTCATTTATGCTTTTGTAAATGGGTTGCATTTTTTTCCTTCCTTTCTCAATGTTGGAATGCATCTCTTGATAATTACTATATTTGGTCATATTCTTGTCTTCTGTTCACCCTTTTCATGCTTAGAGATAATTTTCCCATCTCCCCAAAAATTTGATTTTTTTTTTTTTCTTTCTATTTATCTTCTTTCTTAATTTCCTTTTCTTGTTGGGACCATTTTGTTTTTGTTACATTCAAGATTTTTTAATTTCCTTTTCTTGTTGGGGTGATAGACTATTTTGTTTTTGTTACATTCAAGATTTTTTATTGCTTAAATAGGAAATTCCAATTGTCCTGGATTCTTTTCATTGAAAATGGATGAGCACAAAATATATAAATAAATAAATAAATAATGCTTCATTTTTTGTTGTTTTTGCACTGCATTTATGTGAAAAAATTTAAGCTCTTACTAATTTTATTTTATTGAAATTGCCAGGAGATAGTACTTGCTTACAAATCATCAATTCCTTCTCTGTTTTGGTGGGGGAAAGAAAAAAAATCAATCATTATCACCATGCAAACAGACACAAATGGTTTACATTCAGTTACAACACAAACCAGCTCACTGTCCACAGCCTTAACCAACCTTAGTCATTCCAATTCACTCAATCAACAACCTATGAACGGCTTCGATTCTGCCGAGATGGAAAATCGAGTCACAGTAGCCCATCTCGATGAGCTCTGCAGCGCTGCCCAACGAGGAAAATATGTTCGGAGTTTCCCACCCGATGCATTTTATCCCCAAGCCTTCGATTTTCAAGCCACAAACCGGTTTTTCGTTAATCAAGAAAACTTTATCAACCCAAGCCACCCTTTTGAGTACGCTGAAACCGGCTCCTCAAGCGTCGTTAACCCTTCATACGGGAGTCTGAGTCTTGCCACATCAGCACCTCCTCCTGTTTTGTGCGGGAGCTCAGATTTGAGCTCGTGCAGCAGCAAGAATGCTTCTTCAAGCCTCGGCTCTCATAATCAGGTCCAAGTAATAAGCCCTGGTTCAAGATTTATACGCGCGGTACAAGAAATACTTGCCGAAATTGCCAATTACGCGCTTGAGCATTTTAACAACACGAGTTATCCCGGATTTGACTTTCCTGATCGTGATACGTGCATGTTCAACCACTTGCACGAACACGATATCGTGGCTCGGAAAAAGCACCTACTTTCCTTACTGCAACTGGTAAAAAAAAAATCTGATTTTTCCACTTTGTGTTTAGTTAGTTGGCATTTGCTGAAAGATGAAGTTTTTTACTTTTTCTCTAACCAAGAAAAGATATCAATCGATTTTTTTTTTCTTTTCCGTATCTTTCGCGAAAAGGTGGATGAGCGGTACAGCCAATGCATGCAAGAGATCCACACGGTGACATCAGCTTTTCATGCGGTGACTGAGCTGGACATGAACCTACACGCTCGTTTCGTGCTCCCGGGAATCTCTTTCATGTACAGAAATCTCAGAGAAAGGATTAGCTCACACATCTTTTTACTAGGAAAATCGAGCCATAGCGAGGGGGGCACGGGAGAGGATAGTTCATTCGAGACGAGCTTCATTCAGAAGCAGTGGGCTTTGCAGCAATTGAGCAAACAGGATCACCAGTTGTGGAGGCCACAAAGAGGCCTCCCTGAGAAATCTGTCTCAGTTCTGAGGGCTTGGATGTTTCAAAACTTCCTCCACCCGTAATTTTTCCCATTTTCCCGCTCGGTTCTCTTACTTTACTAGAATAAAAAGTTTTTTTTTCTTTTTTTAATGAATAGAATATAAACGTAAATATTCAGGTACCCGAAAGATGCAGAGAAGCACCTGTTAGCTTTGAAAAGCGGTCTCACGAGGAATCAGGTACATATGGAACTAGTTTCCTTTTCAGGCATTAGTGACTATATGAAGTTGGTTTTTTATGGTCTTTTTATTAACAGGTTTCCAACTGGTTTATAAATGCCCGTGTTCGATTATGGAAGCCGATGATAGAGGAAATGTATGCAGAGTTGAACAGGAGAAAAGCTTGTAGAAATGAAGAGGCTGAGGGGAACCACAGAAATCATATGTGTTATGAGAGTAGAAGATTTGCTATGGATTGAGTTGGGATAAATGTAACAAATGTTATTTGTATTATATTTTGATCTGTCTCCTTGGAATAGTATATAGTATGGGAGGATATGATTATTACAAGTGTTTCAAATTTAATTTAATGGCCTTTTTTGGGCTTTTGCTCAACTGAGACATGCCTTTATTTATGTGATATTTTCAACAAAGCTTTGACATTATGTGATAATGTTCATGGTTGTATTGGGTATATTTATGAGAAGTTATGGGCAGAGTTGCTTTTCGTACTGAGTTATTCAAGAACAGTTTAAGCAAAAATTAAAAGTCAGTGAGTTTTTATTATGGATTAAAATGAAATAGTTGAGTCAAATTATTTTTATTAAAAAAGGGTAACAAAAAATGAATTCCTTTAACCCGCCATTTATTATTTTCCAGCTATATCATTATCACAAGTAATACAATTATTCCAAGGATATACAAATATT